CGTGGAACGCACTGCTGCAAACAGTCGCATTAAGCAGAGGTCCAGAGCAAGACCCCCCCTCCCCCTCCCCTTCTGCCCAATGCCGAAACGCCGAACCGGAAAACGCTCGCAAGGCCATTTTCATCCTTGCAGCGCATCCTTCTGATACGGGTCGACTGTACTGTTTGGCTCTTCCCAGGCCCCCCAAACCGGATCCTTGGCGGGCCTCCCGGGGCTGTCTGGGGCTCGGGCGGCAGGGGGGACAACGGCAGCGCCGGGATGCCGCCGGTTGGGCCGCGGAGCTCTCGGGGGAGCGCCACAGCGTCAGCATAGTCACCCCGCACATCGAGCACAGTAAGGACGGGCAACCTTCCCACGAGTACCCTTGTATCCTTGCCCCTTCGTCCGAGAGTCAGGAGGGGAAAAAACACAGACGCAATGAATCGTCGACCGCCAGGAAAATATAGGAAAGCATGGGAAGTGGGGGGGAAGACAAAAACCCAGAAAATATGTAAAAAGATGGGAAATCCTGTCATTTGTGTGTATTTGTTTGTGTGTCCCAGGGCCCCTTCAGAGAGGCCGCTGGGTGGGCCGCGGAGCCCTCGGGGGAGCGCCAGCGCGTCAGCAGACGTCACACGAGTGTAAGGAGGGGGAAAACACATAGACACAAGTCATCGTCGACGCCGAGGAGAGAACATATGGGAAGTGTGGGGGGGAGGCGAAAACCGAGGAAATAGAAGAAAAAATTGGGAGTCCTGGGATTTGCGTCTCTTTACCTGTATCCTTGGGGCCCGTAAGAGTGCTGCAACTGGTGCTGAGGCGGGAAAGGGGAACAAACGCCTACAGTCGTAGAAGTCAGAATTTGGCAAACATGAGCTTGATGAACTCCGCGCGGGTTTCCTGGACCTGCGTGGAGGGCCTTCTGGCGGTGCCTCCGGCGCCCCGGTTTGGCGCGCTCCGCGCGCCAGGGAGGGGTGTCCAGCGGTCAATCCACGCGGAATTTTGCAAATCATGGTTACGTGTGCAGTTGCTCTTGCAAGAAAACGCAGAAGAGCTCCCAGAGGCTTCTAGCTCCCAGAGGCTTCTCTAGGCCAAAGATCGTTGGCTTTTACTTTGTCCTTCCCCTCTCCTCCTCCTCCTCCTCCTCCTCCTCCTCCTCCTCCTCCTCCTCCTCCTCCTCCTCCTCCTCTTCCTCCTCCATGCCTTTCCCCAAAAATAACTTATCCTGTCGCACCCCGAGGCCAGTTTTTAGTTTTTAGGGCGGGCCAGGCGTTTCGCCTGATACTTCCTCACCGTTTATGACTCTGAAGCTTCACAATTGGTAGCAGTTTCACGGATGGAGGGCGGGCCGTTTTCAAAATGTTGTTCTCGCCTGAGCGCGGCGCACATTTGTTTTGAAAATTTGCAGGAGTTTCACGGATTGAGGGCGGGTGGTTTGAACATGTGACTCTCGCTTTAGCGCGGCGCACATTCGTTTGCACAAATTGCAGCAGCTTCACGTATTGAGGGCGCGCGGTTTTCAAAACGTGGTTCTCGTCTTAGCGCGGCGCAAATTTGTTTTCACACATTGCAAGAGCTTCACGGATTGAGGGCGGGAGGTTTTGAACATGTGGTTCTCGCTTTTCGCGCGGCGCACATTCGTTTTCAACATTTGCAAGAGCTTCACGGATTAACAGCGGCTCCTTTTCAGCATGTGGTTCTTTTTTTTCAGCGCGGCGAACATTCGTTTGCAACATTTGCAAGAGTTTCACGGATTGAGGGCGGTTCCTTTTCAAAATGTGGTTCTCGCTTTAGCGCGGCGCATATCAGCATGCATTGGCATCATCAACGTGCCAGAAATGGTGTTTCGATATATTCGGGATTCTGAGGGTGCAACAGTTATGTTGGCTCGCTGTGCTGAAGTCCCAGGAGTGGCGTTCTGGCACGAATCAAGATTGTCAATACGCAACAGTTATGTTGATCCGTGGCGTTGAAATCCCGAGAACAATGTTTCGGCATGATTCAGGGTCTTCAAAGGGTGTCTTCCAAAGAGGCAGTCCCCTCAATTGAAATGAACGTGGTAGGGACCCATGAAGAGGGAGCTTGGAGGGAAGGTTTATTCCAACATCCTTGATGATTCTTGGGTTTACACTGGTCCTCCTCCTCCTCCTCCTCCTCCTCCTCCTCCTCCTCCTCCTCCTCCTCCTCCTCCTCCTCCTCCTCCCCTCCTCCTCCTCCTCCTCCTCCTCCTCCTACCTCCTACCTCACCACGTGTGAGAAATGAAACTGCTGGAAAAAACTCTCCTCCTCCTCCGCATCCTCCTCCCCCCTTCTCCTCCTCCCTCTCCTCCTCCTCTCCTCCTCCTCCTCCTCTCCTCCTCTCCTCCTCCCATCCTCCTCCTCCTCCTCCTCCTCCTCCTCCTCCTCCTCCTCCTCCTCCTCCTCCAAGGTGCGGTACCTCACCACCCTGGTTGGCAGGGCCAGTTGGCTCTATAAACCTGCGGTTCTTGCGGTGGGCTCCTGGGGCCACGAGGTGCTTGGCTTGACGCCAGCGCAAATCCAGACCATGCGTGGGCAGGCTGCGGTTTGCTCTGGATGGTGCGCCCCAGCGGCCTGCACCACCACGGTCCTGGGCCTGCTTAGCCCCGCCAAGGATGACCCCCAGTTTAGGCTCCGGTACGGGCAATTGAATGGATCTGCTACCATGTGGAACGGTTTTGAGCACAAGAAAGGCTTGCATCTTTCTCGTACCTGGACTCTGATTTTGAACAAGTTTTCTGTCACGCAGCACCGATGGCAGGTCTTTCGAGGTCCCATAGCGGCCACCATCGCTGTGCTTAAAGATTTGCAGTGGGATCCTGTGTCGCCTGTGTTTTGGCGCGTTGGTGCAGTTGAGCTTCGCACGACTGACCCGGATTTCCCCTTTCGTTTCTGGTCTCTCTTGGAGGAGCCCTGCTCGTGCATGTCCTGGCAGCAAGCGGCGGCTCATCATTACTTGGGGACGGGAGTGGAAAAGGGGGTGGATTTCACTGTTGTCAGGAAAGTGCTTAACAAGTTGTATAAGGATGGGGAGAAGGAGGCTCCAGGACTTTTACGTAATGAGCTCATCGGCGCCTATTGGACGGAGTCCAGGATCAAGTACGCTGGATATGTATCTTCAACGTCGGGCGTGTGCCCGCGGTGCGGCGCCTCAGTTGAGTTTCCACATCATCGGCTGTGGGATTGCGATTGCAATCGGCTTATTTCGGATTCGGTCGTGGATCGAACCAGTCACCTGATCGGTCGGGTGAATGCTGAACCTCAGCGGTCCTGTCTTTGGTACCGCGGGCTCCCTCCTCTAGAGGACTCCTGCGGTCATTTGCCTGCTCCTCTGCAGCTTGTGTGGGAGTGGGGACGATCAATGGGGGCGTCTGGGGCATCGACGGATCGGGGGAGACATACTAAGGACTGGCGTTTGCGCAGGTGTGGATGGGCTGTTCTCCACTTAGGTGCTACAGGGCAGATCGATGGACTGCTCATCGGCACCTTGCCTACCAAAAAGCAGTCTTCCCCGAGGGCTGAGCTCTTTGTTTTGATTAGGCTGGCCAAAAATTCGGCTGGTGATTGTCGTATTTACTGTGATTATCTTCGTGTGGGCCAGGGTGCTCGGCGTCCTCTTAGTGCTAAGAGACGTGCCAGTATGTTCGACCTCCGGGTGGAATATCATCGCGTCATGTCTGTTCGAGGCGGTTCGTTCAATGTCATCTCCACTAACTCACATCCCACCCAGGCCCAATACCAAAATATGTGTTTATCCCTGTAGAGCATTAATTTTACAAAGCTGCGGATTACTTTGCTGACGCTGCTGCCGCCCGAGCGCAGCTGTCGTATGAAGATGTGAGTGTCACCCGTCGGGCTGACAAGCTGGCCACCGATGTGCTACAGCGGCTATTGTCTGTCCAGCGGGAGTTTGTTTTCGTGGGTGAACGTGAGCGCGGCGAGAAGGTTCGACGCCGTGCCAGAGGCCAAGCGACGAGTCTCTCTGAACGTTTATGTAGGTTGCGTGATGCTGGTCACGACCCTTGTTGCTCTGCTGCTGCCATCAGGTGCAACGTGTGTCACCGTTGTTTCTCATTGAGGGTGGAGCTTTTTGAGTTTTGGCCTGGCCCCTGCAAGCCGAGGAGCCAGATTGATCAAAGAATTCAAGCCCTCTCTGCTCGCACGCCTGGACGGGATTATTGCCGCCATGCCCCCGATGATTTGGGACCTTCTGAGCTGTGCGGTGGAACTTTGGACCATCCCATGGCGGGGCTGTGCGACGCCTCGCACCAGCTCGCGGTGCTGCGAAGCGCTTTGTTTTGTGAGCGTTGTGGCGGTTCTGTACTGTGAACCCCCATCGCACCCTCAAGAACGAGTGCGGGCGTCCCACCACTGCTGACGAGCTATGTTGTCTCGTTTGTCTCGGGGACTGCCCCAAAAGTCGGGATCTGTTTTCCCTGATCTGTAAAGTTTTTGCTAAGTGGCCTTCCTAGAGAGGGACCACGCACCTGACATCAATAGAATTAGAATCCTCCTCCTCCTCCTCCTCCTCCTCCGTCCTCCGGCTCTTCCTTCTCCTCTTCCCCCCTTTTCCTCCTCCCCCTCCTCCTCCTCCTCCTCCTCCTCCTCCTCCTCCTCTTCCTCCTCCTCCTCCTCCTCCTCTTCCTCCTCCCTTTCCTCCCTTTCCTCCTTTTCCTCCCTCTCCTCCCTCTCCTCCTTCTCCTCCTCCTCCTCCTCCTCGTCCTCCTCTCCTCCTTCCCCCCATTCCTCCTCCTCCTCCCCTCCTCCTCCTCCTCCTCCTCCTCCCGTCCTCCTCCTCCTCTCCTCCTCCTCCTCCTCCTCCTCCTCCTCCTCCTCCTCCCCCTCCTCCCTTTCCTCCTCCCTCTCCTCCCCTCCTCCTCCTCCTCCTCCTCCTCCTCCCCTCCCCTCCTCCTCCCTCCTCCTCCTCCTCCTCCTCCTCCTCCTCCTCCTCCTCCTCCTCCTCCTCCTCCTTCCCCTCAGAAATCTACTCTTCCAGCCTGCAGGTGACCGCGCTCGTGGGCAGCACCGTGCAGTGCCTCCTGGCCCTCGGCGCCTCCCCCCCCGTCGGCCCCCGCCGGAGCGTCGGCGAGGTGGAGTGTAGCAATGCGCAGCGGCAGCACGCCGTCGGAGCAGGGCGCGGGAGGCGGAGGTTTGTGCCGCAGGCGAGGAGGCGTGCGATGAACGAGGGGCGGGTAGGCGTAAGAGGGGGGAGGGGGGATGGAGGGAATGAGGGAAGGGGAGGGGAGGGGAGGAGAGGCAGGGCTCATTTGGACTCCCCCCATTCGATTCGGTTTCCAATTGCTTGAGATTCCGATTCCATTCGACTTGGGTTTCCGATTTGGGTTTCGATTTCGTATTGGAGGCATACTAGCCGGCCGATATCCGCCGATTCGACTTTTCCCTACTCTGCTGCCGATTTCCGCCGATCCGATTCATTTCGATCGCCGATCCGATTTATCGATTCGATTATATAGGCTTACGCCACATCCGCCGACCCCTATATAAACTATTGCGCCTCCAGGACTGCATTTCACGAGGCTGATCCGAATCATGACACGGCGCTCGACATCGTTCTTGTTGCTTCGTTGTTGTTATCGTACCTCTTGGTGCTCTTTTGTGGCCCTTTGGTGGCATCCTGGCCTGTCTGCAGGCCATATCCGGCCGCCTCGAGGTATCTTGGGAAAAGTTTTGGGGCCTCTTGGGGGCTTCCTGGAGGCTTCTTGGAGGCCTTGAAGGTTCTCTTGGGGGTCCCTCAGGGCCTTTTAGGGTGTTCTTGAGGCAGGCTGGGAGCGTCTTGGGGCCGAAGGCTCGAAAAGGTGCCCTCCGTACTCCCTCTTGGAGCCGTCTGGGGGCCCTCTTGGGCTGTCTTGGGGGCTTTGTGGGCTGTTTTTTGGCCCTCTTCGACCACTCTTGGGGGCCCTTTCGGCCTTCCGGGGGCGATATTGAAGGTTTCTTTGCCCGTCTTGGACGTTGTGAAAGTCGAAAAGTCGAGTATGTAAAAAATGTTGTTTTTTTTGTCGAAAGGAATGGGACGATTTTTGTTTCTTGGGACCCTCCTTGGACACATCTTGGGGCCTTTTGGGGCGTCTTCGCAGCTTTGGAGGCCGTCTGGAGGCCATCGTGGGCGTCACGGAGTGATATTTCGGCGACTCGTGGCCTTCTGGGACCGTCTGGTGAGCGTTTTGGTGCCTCCTTGGTCCGTTGTGGAGCCCTCCGCTCCCCCGTGGCGCGTTCGGTCCGGGGTCGGGCCGGTCCAGGGGGCGGGGTTTAATTGATTGCTGGTTTGGGGTCCTTGGGGTGGGGATATGGGGGGGGATAATCTCACACGCCTAGAGACCCACAACGGGTCGGCAGATTCTGGACTCTCCTGGGAGGCGAGGTGAGAGGAGGGAGGGGAGGGAAGGAGGGAGGGAGGGAGGGAGGGAGGGAGGGAGGGAGGAGGAGGAGGAGGAAGAGGAGGAGGAAGAGGAGGAGGAGGAGGAGGAGGAAGAGAGGAAGGAGGAGGGGGGGCGAAGCAAGGAGCGAAGAGGAGAACGGGGAGGAGGTGAAGTGGGGCGGCCCAGGAGGGGAAAGAAAACAAGGAAGGGGGGGGGGCGACCGGCGGTGAAGCGGGGGTGCCCTTGTCGTCGCACACGGGCGGGACGAGTCCCGCTCCGCGTTCTCGGAGCGCCCGGCTGCGGCCTTGGCCCGCACCGAGCGGGCCCGATGGCCGAGGCTGTCCGCCTCGGCTCGGCCCGAGAAGCCGAAGGCTCGGAGAACCACCAGAGTAATCATCCAGGCCTGGTATCGGCCACGCCCTGCTCTCTCCCCGCGTCGGCCTGCTCGACGTCCGTCTTCCCGGATCCCTCCGAGCTGTGCCCCCCCGTCGTCTTCCCCGCCGTGGTCCACCGTAAAGCTCTCCAGAGTGGCCGCAGAGGGGCCCGCCGCCGGCGGAAGCTCAGGACTCGGAGGGAGAAGATTCGGTGGGGAAGCCCGCTGCTCCGAAGGGGGGACGTACACATGACCACCGCCCGGAGGATCGATGTGTGGGGGGCCGCAACAGGCGCTGGATGTGGATGTATTCGGGCCCCCGGGGGCCAAAAGACCTCCAGATCCACCGCCCGCTGTTCGTGCCCGTGCTGTTCGTGCCCGTGCTGTTCGCGCCCATGCTTCGCGGATTTTTCACGAGCCCGGGGCTATTGCACGGTTTTGCCTTCTGTGTCATGCGCTGCAGTCGTCATCTTTCGGGCGCGTTGCCAGGATAGCCCTCCTGAGGGGCAGCGGACTCCTCCTCCCCTGCTCGTTTGCCGTGGTTGAACAAATACATCCATATCCACCGCCCGCAGAGGAGGAGGAGGAGGAGGAGGAGGAGGAGGAGGAGGAGGAGGAGGAGGAGGGGGAGGACGTCGGTCCCCAGGCGGTGGATGTGGACGAGCCCCCGCCTCGCAGGGGAGCCCGCGGCCGCCTCTCCGCGACGGCCTCCCCCGGGGCCCTCCTCGGCCTCCGCGTCGCGCCCCCCGCCGGGGCGGAGCTCGCCGCCCGCCGCCGCGCGCACATCCGAGGCCACCCCCTCCGCGTGGAGGGCGCTCCCCGGGAGTCCAGGGCGCCCTCGAGAGGGCGCGAAGCTCTTCGCGCCTCGCGCCCTCGGCTCCGACGCCTCCTCGCCCGCCTCTGCTCCCCTGGGAGGGGGCGCGAGGAGCGCGAAGCGATTCGCACCTCGCGCTCTCGCGCTTCGCGCGAGGCGCGAAGCCGGGAGAGCCCCTGCGCGGAGGCGCCCTCCCCTTGGAGCGCGGTGCGGCTGGTGGGCAACATCTCCTGCGCCGCCCGCGCAGCCGGTGCGGCGCCGCAGACTCCCACGCGCCCCCCTTGCCACGATTCGGTGTCGATTGGCTGCGCCCGTGGGGTGCAGGGTGTACAGTCAAAGACCCTAATAGGGACGCGCGACTTTGCTCAGGGTACCCTTGCTCTTCCTTGCTATTCCTTGCTCTTGCGTCCTCGCTCTTCCTTGCTCTTCCTTGCTCGTGCGTCCTTGGGGTCTTCGTCGTCCGCCGCCCCAAAAAATCCCAACTCCGGCTTCCAAGGGTCTAGCGTCCTTACCGCGCGTCCTTATTAGGGTTTTTGACTGTGTTGATTGGCTGCGCCCGTGGGGTGCAGGATGTAGGCCAGTCGGCAGATCGACGACTCGCGCCACAGCCTGCCAATATTGAACTGGGGGCGCGGGAGGCGAAAAACAAAGATCGACGGAAAGGTGCAGGATTTTTTGTCCAGCAGCCGTGCGACTCGGGCACGAGGTCGGCTGCCGCCAGATTGGGCAAGCTTTCGGAGCCCTTCTGCCTGCAGGGTGCTTGTCGGACTCGTCGCGCGTGGCCTTGCCTCGGCGGCGTCGTACAGTCACCCCGCATTGTACTCCTCCTCCTCCTCCTCCTCCTCCTCCTCCTCCTACTACTACTACTACTACTACTACTACTACTACTACTACTACTACTACTACTACTACTACTTCTACTACTCCTACTCCTACTCCTACTCCTACTCCTCCTCCTCCTCCCTCCTCCTCCTCCTCCTCCTCCTCCTCCTCCTCCTCCTCCTCCTCCTCCTCCTCCTCCTTCTCTCCCTTCGGCCCATCCCTGGCCTCCGTCGCTGGCCGCGCCCCGCTTTGCAGCGCGCCGACGCGCCTTTTTTTCCCGCACGCCCTTGCAACAGGGGTGGACTGTGCCCGCACTGGTCGTCGGACCCGTCGGACGCGTGGGCCGTGGCCCGCAGCCGCTCTCCTCCGCGCTCGCCCCGGCGCCGTGCGCCCCGCTGCACGACAGTCTCCGCCGCTCGCGGCGAGCCTGGCGCTGGCGGCCACGTCTTCGTCGTCGTCGTCGTCGTCGTCGTCGTCGTCGTCGTCGTCGTCGTCGTCGTCGTCGCCGTCGCCGTCGCCGTCGCCGTCGCCGTCGCCGTCGTCGCCGTCGCTGTCGCCGTCGTCGCCGTCGTCGCCGTCGTCCTGCTGGCCGGCCAGGGCTCCGCGCCGCGGCGCGCGGCGGCCTCGGCGCCCGCCGCGGCGGGGGGGGCACGCCCCGTGGCCCGCGCCCGTGCTTTTCCTCGGCCCCGGCGGCCGCGGCCGCCGCGCCGCCGCACGGCACGGCGGCAGGCGGCGCGGACGTGTGCAGTTTTCGTTCGGCGAGGGCCATCGACGAGCATCCTCCTCCTTCTCCTCTTCCTCCTCTTCCTCTTCCTCCTCCTCCTCCTCCTCCTCTTCCTCCTCCTCCTCCTCCTCGTCCTCCTCCTCCCGCACCCCCCTTTCCTTCGGCCTTGATCATTTGGAGAAGAAGCCACGCACGAAACCGAAAATTATCCCGGCAAAGCAACCTAACAGCGATGTGTAGAAGCATATTTGGAAGCATTGCCCTTGAGCAGCCTTAGTCTGCCTTCAGCCTCGGCCTCAGCCTCAGCCTGCCTCAGCCTCAGCCTGCATCAGCCTCAGCCTCAGCCTCAGCCTGCCTCAGCATCAGCCTGCCTCAGCGTCTGCCTCAGCCTGCCTCAGCCTCAGCCTCAGCCTCAACCTCAGCCTCAACCTCAGCCTGCCTCAGCCTCAGCCTGCGTCAGCCTCGGCCTCAGCCTCAGCCTGCATCAGCCTCAGCCTCAGCCTCAGCCTCAGCCTCAGCCTCAGCTTGAGCCTGCCTCAGCCTCAGCCTCAGCCTGCCTCAGCCTCAGCCTCAGCCTCAGCCTCAGCGGTGGATTCCCCATAGTCACTGGCGGCGCTGGGGGCCTCAGCATCAGCCTCAGTGGTGGATTCCCCATAGTCACTGGCGGCGCTGGGGGCCTCAGCCTCAGCCTCAGTGGTGCGTTCCCCATAGTCACTGGCGGCGCTGGGGGCCTCAGCCTCAGCCTCAGTGGTGCATTCCCCATAGTCACTGGCGGCGCTGGGGGCCTCAGCCTCAGCCTCAGTGGTGCGGTCCCCATAGTCACTGGCGGATCCGCGGATTCTCCACAACTCATCGCCGATCCCCCAGAAAATATTGGAAAATATGGGAAGTGGGGGGGGGGAGACGAAACCCTGGCGGCCGCGGCCGCCGCTCCGCCACACAGCACGGCGGCAGGCGGTGCGGGCGGGGGCCGGCCCGCCCCCTCCTGAGCCAGAGTTCAAGCAGTGGTCCCTGGAGTCCGTGTCGTCCTTGTCTCGGGGGCGGAAGACGCACGTACGAGTACAGGAGTATCCACGGTGGGTTTCGAGAGTGCGCCTTTGCGCGACCGCTCGTGCAGCGCGGTCGCTCTCGCGGACTGGGGGGATGCATTCGTGCGCGAGGGTGGGCGCGCAGTGCAGGTTCTCGGTGGGTTCCCTACTGTCCTCCTCCCAAGCCAGGACGGTCCTGGCCGATCCCGCCTCGAGGGAACAGCACGGGGGGGCTGTGGACGCTTCCGTCCAGCACAGGCTCACTCCGGATAGGCTCTCCGCCGAGAGCCGCCCTCCGCCGGGGAGGCGACGCAGAATAGATTGAGTGGCCACGTGCTATACAGTGTGCCATCAGTGCTGACGGAGGTGGCGGTGGCATCGGTGCTGACTGGGCACGCACGTGCTATACAGTGGAGATGCATGCCAAGAAGCACCCTGCTTGCCTCCAGGGTGCCCTGAGTTTCTTGGGCCTCGGTGCTTCTGCCGTGGCCGGCGCGACGTTGCCACACCAAACAGTCTGTGGACGTCCTGGGGTCTCAGGGTCGGGCCTCTCGTGGACGGCTTCCTGTGGACTGGCCTCCCTCGTACTCTCTTCCTCCCCCTTGGGGCGGGGGGGCCCGGCCAGCCCCCCCCCCCCGCCCGCCAGTGGTGCCCGCCTCGCTGGCCCTGTGGACCATGCCGTGGCAGACCGCGCGGCGCCCCTGGCAGACCACCCGCAGGGCGCGCCCGCGCCCCCCCCCCCCGCCGCGCTTTCCTCGGGGGTGGACAGGACCCCCCACCCTTCAGGCAGTGGCGAAGCGTCCTGGCTCGCCTATAGCCCTACCAAGCAATGTTCTAAGAACCTTTTTTGTGGCTTCCAGGACATGTTCTCAGAACATTTCTGGCTGGGACTGCCTTGTTTTAACACATCGGTTTATGTTCTAAGAACATTGTTTTTGTTCTTAGAACATGTTTGAACATTTCGTGGTATGACTATAGGAATGCCGGGACGGTCGGTCCCTGCTCAAACCCTGACATGTCGATTGGTGAATTGTCCGTCTTCGGTTCTCGAGAGGGCGCCGCGGCCGTCATTTCCCAGGCCGGCGCCCGCCTGGTCTGGGCCCGAGGCCGTTTTTCCACTGAGCTGCGTTTTGCTAGAGGGGGTTCTGTCCATCCCCGACTTTGCCAGCCTGGAACCCTTCCCTGCCCCCGTGATTGGCACCGCCACATCTCGATTGATGGACCAAAGAAGGGCCCTGACCCTCTGGGGGGGACCTAAGTTGGGAGGGCCAATTACTCCGACGGTAGGACCCACATGAGAATGTGTTGAACTTGCCTGGGGACCTCCTCCTGCCCCCTACCTTCTACTCCTGCCTCCTCCTTCTCCTCCTGCCTGCTCCTCCACCTGCCTCAACCCCTGCCTCCTCCTCCTGCCTCCTCCACCACCTCCTCCTTTTCCTCATCCTTTTCCTTCTCCCTCTCCCTCTCCCTCCTCCTCCTCCTCCTCCTCCTCCTCCTCCTCCTCCACTCTCCCTCATGTTCCTCTCCCTCTCCTCCTCCGCCTCCTCCTCCTCCCGCTCCTCCTCCTCCTTCTCCCCTCCGCCTCCTCCTCCTCCTCCTCCTCCACCTCCACCTCCTCCTCCCCATCTCCTCCTCCCGCTCCTCCTCCTCCTCTCTCCTCCTCCTCCTCCTCCTCCTCCTCCTCCTCCTCCTCCTCCTCCTCCTCCTCCTCCTCCTCCTCCTCTCCTCCTCCTCCTCCCCCTCCTCCTCCTCCTCCTCCTCCTCCTCCTCCTCCTCCTCCTCCTCCTCCTCCTCCTCCTCCTCCTGCCTCCTCCTTAAGCCTCCTGCCTGCCTCCTCCTGGGGCCTCCTGGAGCCTCTTGGGGCCTCCTGGAGCCTTCTGGGCCTCCCCGGACCTCCTGGGGCCTCCCAGGGCATTCTCCTCCTCCTCCTCGTCCTCTGCTTCCTCCTCCTCTTCCTCCTTCTCGATCTCGTTCTGCATCCTCCTCCTCTGCCTCATACTTCCCCAATGCTCATGCCTCAGAAGCCCAACGACAGTTGGAGGTTTCCGATGACCCGCTCGGATTACTCATATGAGCTGCGGGCCCCATAGTGAGGGTGCTCCCGCCTGAGACTTCCTCGCAATTCGCTCACAGACGAGGCTCCCGCCTGTATTTCCCACATTTTCTGGCCTCAGGGGCCCGAAAGTGACGACAATTTCAAGGGTTCCCGATGACCCGCCTCGGATTCGAACGTGAACTGCGGGCTCCATAGGAAGGGGGCTTGCGCCTGAGACTTCCTCGCGATTCGGTCACAGACGAGGCTCCCGCCTGACACTTCACCCATATTCAAGCTTCTGGAGACCAAGAGTGACGATAGTTACAGGTTTCCGATTACCCGCCTCGAAGTCTAAAATGAAGTGCGGGCCCCATAGGGAAGGGGGTTCCCGCCTGAAACTTCCCCGCAATTCACTCACAGTCGAGGCTCCGGCCTGATGCTTCCCACAGCTTCATGCCTCAGGGGCCCAAAAGTGACAACAATTGCAGGAGGCCGATGACCCGCTCGGATTACTCACGTGAGCTGTGGGTCCCATATGGAGGGGGCTCCCGCCTCAGGCTTACTCGCAATTCACTCGCAGACGAGGCTCCCGCCGGATATTTCCTCCATACGCAGGCCTCAGGGGCCCAAAAGTGACGACAGTTGTAGGAGGCCGGTGACCTGCTCAGATTGCTCATATGTGGTGCGGGCCTCATAGGGAGGGGGTTCCCGCCTGAGACGTCCTCGCAAGTCACTCGCAGACGAGGCTCCCGCCTGATACTTTCTCCAGCTTCAGGCCTCAGGGGCCCAAAAGTGACGACAGTTTCAGGAGGCCGATGACCCCGCTCGCACTACTCATATGTGCTGCGGGCCCCATAGGGAGGGGGTTCCCGCCTGAGACGTCCTCGCAAGTCACTCACAGACGAGGCTGCCGCCTGATACTTCCTCCATATTCAGGCCTCAGGGGCCCAAAAGTGACGACAGTTTCAGGAGGCCGATGACCCCGCTCGGACTACTCATATGTGCTGCGGGCCCCATAGGGCGGGGACTCCCGCCTGAGACGTCCTCGCAATTTACTCACAGACAAGGCGCCCGCCTGATACGTCCTCAAAATGAAGGTGTGCGCGTGCGAGTGATGATGATGATGATGATGATGATGATGATGATGATGATGATGATGATGATGATGATGATGCTGATGCTGATGCTGATGCTGCTGATGCTGATGCTGATGCTGATGCTGATAATGATGCTGATGCTGATGCTGATGCTGATGATGATGATGATGATGATGATGATGCTGACGCTGCTGATGATGCTGCTGATGATGATGATGACGGTGGTGATGCTGATTATGATGATGGTGATGATGATGCTGATGATGATGAAGACGATGATGATGTTGATGCTGATGCTGATGCTGCTGCTGCTGCTGATGATGATGATGATCTGCTGATGATGAGGATGAAGATGATGATGATGATGTGAGTGATGATGACGATGTGATTGATGATGATGATGATGATGATGATGATGATGATGCTTGTGATGTGGGTGGTGATGATCACGATGTGAGTGGCGATGATGCTGATGGTGATGATGATGATGATGATGCGGGTGGTGGTGATGATGGTGTGAGTGATCGAGTGAGTGATGATGATAATGATGTAGTGAACGATGATGGGGAGGTTGATGGTGTTATGTTGGTGGTGGTGTGTATGTGACTCACTGAGTGAGTAAGATGATGCTGATGCTGACGATGATGTGTGTGAGTGAGTGGGTGGTAGGTGGTGAACGACTGTTTGTAAGTAAAGGAGTGCTGATGCTGAGTGAATGTGAGTGTGTGCGCGTGAGAGCGAGTGAGTGAGTGTGTAAATGATGATGATGTGGTGATGATGATGATGATGATGATGATGCTGATGCTGATGATGATGATGATAATGATAATGATAATGATGATGATGATGATGCTGATGCTGATGCTGATGATGATGATGATGATGATGATGATGATGATGATGATGATGATGATGATGATGATGATGATGTAAGTGTGTGCGTGTGTAAGTGAGTGAGTGTGTGTGATGGGTGAGTGAGTGAGGAGAGGGGGAGTTCCTGTTCTTGTGTTCCTGCGCGTGGTGTCTGGGGAAAACGCGAACCCCATTTTGGATGTGGGAAAAACATCAGGGATAGTGGATCGTTTTTTGTTGCAGATGTATCAGACCAGGCCGCCCAGAACTTATCCCTAATGCCAAAACGGGTACCTCAGTGAAGCCACGTCTTCACTACAGTATTTGGGTTAGGGGTTCTTCTATTCCCGATGATCGATGCCGATGTTGGGGAACGCTCCTCAACTCTCGAGGGCATCCCAGAGATCGCCATCAGCTGTTTTGGCTTGCCCATCCCATGGATGGGGTTGAGCTCGAGGCTGGCCCCCCCCTATCTCTGACCTGGGACCCCGAGCTCCACCAGCCTCTGGCGGCCTTCTGGCTGCCGCCTTCGGAGGCCATGGGAGCAGCCTTCCTCTGGCGGCCTCCCGCGCCCTCCCGCGGCCTCCGGCGTCCCCCATGGCGGAGTTCGGCGGAGCTCTGGCCGGGAGCCTTGCGGCGGGGGTCAGTGTTCGGGGCCCCCAAACGGGGTGGTGACCACACCGTGTGGTGAGTCGGTGGGGATTCGGGGTCACCGCACGGTTTTGGGACTCGGGTCGTTCTCCGAGGACGTCTCGGGCGGCAGGGGCCTCCTGGGTCCCAAGACCGTACGGTGACGGACTGTGCGGTGAGGTTTTGAGGGATTTCGAGGTCACCGCAGCGCACCGTTTCGGGACTTCAAACTCAGTGCGAATGCGGTGTCAGCCAGGGCGGCGGATCCTGCAGGATGCTGCAGGGCCAGGGTTGCACAGACCCGGGCTGGCGCGCAGGACCCTGCAGGATCCTCCTGCAGAATCTCGCAGAGCCCGACCGACCCGGGGTGTGGATGGAGCTGGGTCAGTAGACCCCCGACGACGTCATGATGTTTTCGTGACGTCGACCCCCAGAGGTTTCGACCCATTCCCTGGGACCAGTTTTTCCTCCTGAGTCACTTTTTGCCAGGCCTGAGGCCCGGCAAGGGCCCCCAGAGGCCGAAAATTGTGAGAAGTCTAAATCGTGATTTTCTCATGACTCGATGGGGCCTGGGTCAGTAGATCCCCGGTCAGGGGGCCCAGGGTCCCTGGGGCGAGAGGGTCCAGGCCTCCTATTATGGGGTCGGAGTACAGATGGGGTCGGAGGGTCGTGCCGCATCGCCGATGCATCGGCGATGCGCCTCGATGTGGAGCCCGATTTTCTCCGCGTCGACGTCGCCGACGCATCGCCCGCGTCGCCGATGCATCGTCGATACACCGTCGAACTGGCGTTAAATCGGGCCTGTCCCTCTACAGGAGGAATATTCAAAAATAGTAAAAAAATAGACTGGGGATTATTTTTGGGTTAGCTTTGGACCATTTGGGGGGTATGGTTCGAACATGTTTTAGATTCTAGACGCTTCGCGTATCCCCACCAGTCTCAGTTGTGGAAGGTACTCTTGTCATCATGCTCCACACCCTGGATGCGCTTTCTTGCGTCGCGACTCGGTTCGCCGTCAGCTTTTTCCGCTGGACTTGTCCCCAGTCAGTCTGTGGTACCCGTCAGGCTCCTTGGATCGGTGTCCTCGGGAACTCTCAATGCTGGAC